AGGACTTCCCTCCCAACAAAGGATTATCTGCTCCCAAACGTCAATAGGTCCAAGGTTGAGAAACCCTGACCTATACAACCTGTGTAAGATCTTTAAGGGAGTGATGATGTGGGAAATGTCAGATACTAATTTTTAAAAATACACAAGTATATAATCGCAGTTCATGACACATAGTCTGCAGCATAGAGATATAGATCTTGGAGGTCTGATAATAGATGTAAGGGTTCAACTGATACATGAGGATGAGTAGCAATTGCCTAGGCAGTGTGGACTGGCAGGTCGGGGGCATTGTGGATAGAAGGGATGATGGGAGAAGGGTTAATGAAGTACAAAGAAGTAAGGGACAAACTAAAGTAAGTTCAGCATGGGTGAGGAGCAGAGGTTCAGTGGGAGATTGCAAGATGGGTTGGGGAGGCGGATGCAGCCTGGGCAGGCAGTGCTTGGGACAACCGGTTACATCAGTATGTTTATCTGAAGTTTGACCCCTGAGGGGTTCGAGGGAGATGAAGATACCCGTGTTTTAAACACACAAGTAATCCAGGCTACAGTCTTTAGAAGGATCTGAAAGAGAGAAGACACAGATGGACAAGGCAGGAGTGGAGGTGACAATATACACTCATACTTGAGAGCTACTTGGTGTCCATTACAGAGACTGCTTGAGAGGGTGGGACTAAGGCAACATCCCATTAGATGAAGCAAAGTGGATAGAGTGGAGAGAATTAGGTTGTGAAAAAAAGTAGGTCTGACATAGGGACAGATATTGGGCAATCACCAATGGCTCCCAACTTCCTCACCCCTGTATTTGTGAACATTCAGTAAAATATGTGTCTTTGACATCAGGGCAGACAGCCTAATGGAAGAAAACACTAAATCCAGGTCTGAGTACAATGTGTTTGAGGGTTTTGGAGAGAAGAACACAGCAGAGATGGCTGGAATGGGGAATAAAATTGGAATTTGCTTGGGCTTTTGACTGTTCTTCTAACCCTTCTGTACCAAGGTATAAGGTGGCTGGGAGAGAGTTACCGGAACACTTACCTTCCTATGCCTGAATCTTCTGGCTCAGACAGAGCACTGGAAGAGAGAGATTCATGAGAGATGAGTCTTCCAGTTTCCAGTGTTTGTTTTAAGTCACCCTGCCTAATGACACGCAGGGTGTCATTTTTTCTTCCACAGCAAGCATAGCTTTGAGGCTCATCTTTTAGTTTTATCTTCTAGATTTCAGGCCCTAAGGCTCTCATCTACAGGAACTCTGGACCCATCATGGATCTCTACACAGCATGACATGGGTTGAACATGTCCCACAGGCTACTGGGATATGGGAAGACACAGTTATAGATATCTGGGCAAAGGCCAACTCTCCAATATGGAGGTCAGAATCTCCTGATTCCTCATAGTAAGAGGGACACTGACTGTTTTGGGGCTCCCCCATCTTCCCCCCCTTACCCACTTGCATTCAAGAACTCACTGAGACAGAGAAAGATAGTGTCTCTGGGGTCCATGATTCTGATACAGCCTCAGCCCAGTTAGTCTCTTGTTGGTGCACATTTGCAGAATGACAGAGCCTCGTAAGACAGTTAGATAGATCAGCAGGAAGTATGAGGTCAGAGTCTTTGGTCAGAGAATTTCTCCATCTATTGCCCCACAAGTAATGGTTCCTTCCCAAGAACTTAGTTCTGGATAGCTCTTGGGTTGGGCCCAAGAGGAGACCAATCTTCCTGCTTATGTTTCCTATGAGAAACGAGTGTTTTCCTCAACCGATGTCTAATGGGGCTCAAATCCTTCTTTAAACCGGAACCCACATCCAAGTGGAAGGGCCTGGGACAGAGTATAAGATGGTGCCATACAGACAGAGATTTGTCTTCATTGGACTGTTTAGTCAAAAGTCATGTGTCCTTGCCTGTTATGTACCCATGTATCTTCTCTGGAATTCAGGGACTAAGTATATCCACTTGGTCTTGATAAGGAAGACAATATACTCTTGCACTGGGGATTTTCTTTATGCCAGCATGCCAAGGAATTTTCTCAGGAGCTACTCATCATCTGTAGGGAAAGAAAGTGCTATACCTATACCAATCTATATATCTAGATACAGATACTGGATAGATAGATAGATAGATATTTAGCTGTAAGATGGGATGGGAAGTCAAATATTCCAAATCAAATTCTCTAACACTTATCACATTTTCATTATAATACATACCTACATACTCTTGCCTTCCAATACACCAAATGCCTAAAATCCTGAGCTTCTCACCTCTTTTGGAAGGCACCACCAACAGTCAGATTTTAAAAATAGTGAAAATGAATCTTTAAGAGAAGTGACTTTGCCAAAGATCCTGCAGCTAAGAGGGAGCAAAACAAAATCTAATTGTTAAACATCCAAAAAAATATCCACCTCTGCAGCATGACTTGGACTCTCCAGGGGAGATGCTAGGGTTACTTGATCACTTCACCCTGGGACAAGATGATCATGACAAATATGTTACATTCCAATGATAGATAGATGGTGGATTTGTCTATTTGCTTGTAGTAACATAGTGACTTACCCTTGAGGGAAGGGTTGACTTGAAAAGACCTGAGGGATCTATTTTGAGAAATGGTGAAAGTTGCTTTTCTTATATTTTATATATTTATATTCTTATATCTTATATCATATATTCTGATATGTGAATATTTTATATTGTATGTCAGAGAATAAATGGAAATGTCACTATATATATATATATAGTTAATATAGCTATAATATATATCTATCACTGTCTAATAAAATATGCCTTTGTTATTGTAAAAAATGAGCTTACCTTAGGATATGTCATATTTTCCAGCTGCTAGTGTTTTGAAATGGTGACCAGCAGTGTATCCTAGACAAGGGTTTTTTCAATTTAGCACTATTGACATTTAGGGCTGGATAATGATTCTCTGCTGCCTGTGTGTGTGGAGGAGTCCATCCTGGACACTGAAGGATGTTGAGCAACATTTCTGGCCTCTGCATAGTAGATGTCAGTAGCAGCCCCCTCCACAGTCATGACAACTAAAAATGTCTCCAGACATTACCATAATGACTCCTGGTGGGCAACGTTGCCCCAGCTGAGAACCAGCGTCCTGTGCTGTCTGCTGGCACATACGGGCTGAGGAACTAGACCTTGTTCTGAGACATGACTGAGCTTCATGCATCCAACAGCATCTCATGTCCCTTCCTTGAGGCATTTAAGTTCTACAGGATGTAGGCCCCACTTAGGGTCACAGGACATAGAATCGTCCAATGGGAAGGTCTCTAGAGCACATTTCTAGGCACAAACCCTCAAAGTGTTCCTTTAATCTGCTGTTCCCTGAGTTCTCAACAAGTTCCTCCCAGAATCAACCTTATCCTAAACACCCTATTTTTTCCTCCCAGCTACTCTGGAGGAACCTCTTGCTTCTCCACCAAGAAGGAAGATGTTGTAGTCTGGGGGAGCAACTCACCTTCTCATATTCATTCATAACACTCTAAGAGAAGCCACATGGAAACTTAACCTCTCTTCCAAACTCTTGCCTTAACCCTAGCATCCATGCTGAAACCTTGTGTTCAAAAAGCCACATCTAGGCTGGGGTTGCAAAAAACCTCATTTGTCCATGTGATAGTTATGGGTCCATGCCCTGATGTCTGGGGAATTCCAGGTAACTCCACAATGCTTCCTTTTGCAGATCTCAGTAAGATCTAATATGCTTGTTTTCCTTCCCTGGTTATTGTACACCTCTGTTGTGCAGAAACCAGGAGCCCCACAGAGCTGATCCATGCACTGGGTGCAGTCTGTCAGTCCCTGTCATCACTGTTCAGGTCACTCTACAAACTGATGACAAGAGAGGAAGCTGAAAACTTCCTTTCTTAATCATAGCTCTGGTTTTCCCACAATGTGAGCTGAACAAAAATATCTGACTTCTTGGAAATTTTTTGAGCCAAGCCCAAGGCCTCACCTGGTTCCAAAACCCAAGCGTGTCTTCAAGTCCAAATCTGGAACAATCCCCTAAGCCCAAGGTGTGACATTTGTTTACAGGGGATGGTTCAACAGATAGTGGATGGGCTCAAGGGTCTTCTCTTTGGGGCCCCATGATGGTCAACAACCATGCCATGTTGTGTGGCCTTTGACAAGACAATTTCTTTGAATTTCCCTACTTTGCAAAATGGAGATAACAAGGAGCTCTGATAAATTTTACATAAGGACTCATCAAGGAAACATTTGTAAAACACATTTCATTAAACAGGTGCTCAAAGGTGTGAATTCCTGTCATTGCCACACAGACACCTATCATTTTCACTGTTGTTCACTAACAATGATGTTCACTAACTTTGATGCTAATTTTGCATCCAAAATATTGCTAGACCTATAGTTCTGATGAGTCTCCCCAACTCAGATGTCTTAATTTCTTACACTGTTTTGTTTTTCCAGAATCACTCAGATAGATCCACCTGCTCCTATGGGATCTCCTTGTTGGAGCCTTGGGGGCAATCATCTGTACTGAGTTGAGACATGGTGTGCCTGGGGCCCCCTAATGTGCCCTGAAGTGGTAGCTGCAAAGGTGGTGGAAGAGAGCCAGTCCCCATGCTGGGGACACCAGCCAGGTGCTCTCTGGCAACCAACCAGAACTTCCAGGGGTCTCTCACTTGAGGATGTCTGGACCTGCCCCAGCAAGGCTTCCCAGATTCCAATAGGAATGGGCAAATCTATCTGGATGACTCTAGAAGGATGAAAGAATGCAAGAAATTAAGACATCAGAATTTGGGAGACTCAACACAACTAGATACATAATTGTGACATAGTCACACAGTGGATTCCTACACAGGAGGGAAAACACTTCTCTTACATGCAAAGATAGGATTAAATTTCAAACATACAATGTTGAATGAAAGGAGTCAGTCACAGAAATACATACTATGTGATTCCATGTAGATGAAAATCAACAATAGCTGGGAAGAAAGATGATTGATGATAGATGATAATTTTGTTTATTTGTTTGTAGTAACATAGCAACACAAGTCAGAACTTACCCTTGAAAAGAAAAGGTGATTTTGTGGACAATATTGGAAATGTCTGTATCATCATAATAGCCTCCTAGAATGGATTGGGGGCTTTCTAGGGGGTCCTGAGATATTTATCTCATCTTAGGGTGAGAGGAAGATGAAGACTTCTGTCTTCAGATTCTAGCTGTTGTTAGGAGGGGTTTCAGAAAGAGCTATGGCATCTGTGGAGAGCCTCCTCAGGGTCTTCCTGTGTGTGCTTGGGGCATAGAATTCATGCCTTGATTGGTCTTAGCATGTTGCGAGTTCCATGTACACACCGTCATCATGCAAGGGTTCCTTGGGCCTCCAGGAAGTGGGAGTGGTTTTTTCCTGCATAAAAATGCAATGATCCAACTGTGTGTATATCACCTCCTGTGGGTCTTCTGCTTGAGGGTCCTGCATGATGGGAAATGGTGAGGAGGGTGTGCACACACTTGTGGGGACTCGGAGGAAATGAGATGGCACTGAAGAGAGTGAGCTGAGGACAACCTACCTCCCTGCTCACCATTCTGTCCACCTCAGGCTCTCTGTTCATTATAGCAGCATCTGTAGGGAATAGAAGTCATCAAAAACACTTCAAAGGTTCTCATCTTATAGATACAGATACCAGAGCACAGACAGGTGCAGCCAATGCCTGGAATTGCTGCCAAAAAGTAGAGTCAGAAATTCTACCTCTCTGAAGTTCAGAGACACATCCCATTAATGTCTCCCTCTTTCCATTCCATTGATGAGGATGGGGGCATGGGGGTTCTCTCTAGAAAGCCCAACCTCTGTGGCTCCTGCTTTGAACCAGGAGTCAGCCTGCAAACGGAGGCTCCCTGGCTCCCCCACTCCTCCCAGACAGGCACTGGCCTCTTCTTCCCGAGACTCACTCTCTTTGGCAGGGCACCACTGACGAGTGAGGAAGAAAAGAAGGACAGCGAGGAAGATGATGGCCACTAAGGGTCCAGCCAGAACATGCAGGTGTCCGGGGTTGCCTGTAGGAAGATGTGAATCCAACAGAAGCAAATCGCGGCAGGCACCGAGCCTGCTGCCATCTTGGTTCCAGCCCCACGAGACCCATTTCAGATCTATGACCTACAGAACTGTAAGATCATTTTAATTTTTTAAAAGATTTTATTTATTTATTTGAGAGAGAGAGAATGAGAGATAGAGAGCAGGAGAGGGAAGAAGGTCAGAGGGAGAAGCAGACCCCCCCCCGCCGACCAGGGAGCCTGATGCAGGACTCGATCCCGGGACTCCAGGATCATGACCTGAGCCGAAGGCAGTCGCTGAACCAGCTGAGCCACCCAGGCGCCCTGTAAGATCATTTTAAAAACTGTTGTTTTAATGCACTGAGCTTGTGGACATTTGTTACAGCAGCAATAAGAAACGAGTACGTATGGCATATCCAGCACATGGATGTATATATGCGCTGGATCAGTGCTTGAATGAATAAATGAAGGAATCATGTATATGCGTGACAGACTGCGTTCTGAGTTCTCTCCCACTCTACTTAGCACATCAGGGTTGCATCCTCACAGACAAGAGCCCATTTATTGGCAAATGGAACTTCTCTAAGCACTGCCTGTCCCTCATCAGCTGCTCCCTTCCTCCCACCCACCGCCCCACCCCCAAGTCCCCACGAATCTTATCTCCACTTAGGAATGGGGACAGAGTAAGCACAGCATTATTCCTGGCCAGATCAGGTTTATTCTCACCCTCCTCTCTTGGAGGAGGTCTCTGCTGCAGAAAATTAGAATTTAAGAGTCTTCACCAGCCCCATGCTGACCGAAACCCTTCTGCTGTTGTAGAGTCTGGGGATCAGACTGGGAAGGTAACAAGCCCAAGATCACAGAGCTGGAAGGTGGCTGAGCCAACCCTCAAACCCAAGGCTTCTCTCTGTCAGGTTTCCACAAACAGGGATAAAAGGGATCCTTTACTCACCAGTTTGGGGGGTTGGTTTTGTGGATAGGAGGCAACTATTTGAAGAGTTTCCTAAAAACAAGCCAGGGGAAGGGGGGGAAGGGGAACTGACTGTCTTCTACCCACTGAAGCTCTTTGTCATCTAACACTGAGCTCCTGGGAGCTCCTGGGACCTCTCCCCAGAATCTCTGGGGCCTTGACTCCCTGAGACTTCAAGCTGCAGAGAGGAGATGGGAGAGGTTGATGATGAAAGGGGCCTCTACTTAAGAGGAGGCTTCCCGATCTTGCTGTAAAGACACCTGTACCACCTGGGAGACCACTCTGTGCATGAGGTGTGGAGGGGCTGCTAAGGAAGCGGGTAATGGTGACGGGCCAATGCAACCTCTGATCTCCCCAAACTGAGCCCCTTCTCCCCTGCTCCTGGGTCTGCCCTGACCCCTTTCCATCTTCCTGGGGACACAGACCCCCAGTTTGGGTTTCCACACAATCCATGCAGGAGGATGCTGGAGGTGAGTCCTCAGTCTCTTCCTCCCTGTTTCTTTATCTATGTTTCTGTCTCTCCAGAACTCCTAAGCATCCCCCTGGTACCAGCAGGATGCCCCTCACATATGGCCTTCAAATCTATCCTGAATCACTGGACACAGAGCATGTTCTGGGCTTCCTTACCTGTGACAGAAAGGTACAGTGGGTCACTCGGGCCTGACCACTCACAGGGAGAGGGGTTGAAAGAACCGTAGCATCTGTAGGTCCCACCCAGGGCTGGGTGTGCAGGGCCCAGAGTGAAGTCAGCCCAGGATGCACCACCGTGCCTCTGCCCCTTAGCAAGCCAGAGCTCATGGGGCTGCCCATCCCTGGATAGATGGTACACATCAAAGGAACTCTCTGAGCAGCAGGACAAGGTCACGTTCTCTCCTGACCTCATCACAGTGCCCGGCTGGGCCCAGAGAGAAGGTTTCTGGTGTAGACCTGGAGGAAGTGGAGGCAGTTCAGTCAGAGAGGCTCTTCCTTGCTCACTGTGTCCTTTACACCTGGACTAAGAATTCCCTCTCCCTGTTCCCAGAGCCCAAAGCCCGCTGTGGCCCCTCCTGGCTACCTCTCCTATTGCTTCCTGTCCTTGCCTCCCTCCTGTTCTTTTTCACTTTCACACTGCCTTACTCTGTCTCTCCTGGGACCTGTTGGTTTGATCTGCCTTTTCTTTCATTCTGAGTCTCTCATTCTGCCTTGTCACGATCTTTCTGCGTTATCTATCATCTATCTATCTATTATCTTTTTTTTTTTTTTTAAGATTTTATTTATTTATTTGAGAGAGAGAGAATGAGAGATAGAGAGCACGAGAGGGAAGAGGGCCAGAGGGAGAAGCAGACTCCCTGCCGAGCAGGGAGCCCGATGCGGGACTCGATCCTGGGACTCCAGGATCATGACCTGAGCCGAAGGCAGTCGCCCAACCAACTGAGCCACCCAGGCGCCCCTCTATCTATTATCTTATCTATCATCTATCTATCTATCATCTGTCATCTATCTATCATCTGTCTCTATCTCCCTATCTATCATCTATCTCCATCACCTTGGTTTCTGTGACTTGCTCTGCTCCTCTGTCCCCAGTCCTCTTTTGGGGTCTCTGTCACCCAGCCCCACATCATCATCTTTCTCTTTGTGCCCCACATTCAGGTCTCAGTCTTTTAAGGCTTTTATCTGCCCTCTCTGTCTTTCTCTCTATTTCTCTATCCCTTTTTCTTTCTTTTGTTTTTCGTGTGTCTGAGCCAGTGTCTGCTTATCCATCTGTATTTGTCATCCCTCCATTCTGTGTGTGCGTGTTCATGTGCACACACGCATTTCTGTGTCTATTCACATAGAAACTTTCTATGTACATTGAATACATCAACTCTGCTTTCTCTCTGATTGCATCTCTCTGTAGGCTTTGACCTCAGTAATCCTGTAAGATCTGGGGTGACCTTCAACATGGGCCTGGGAAACAGCTTTGGGAACCCACAACACACACCACATATGGGAGCTGGTATCTGGCTCCTCCACCTGGGACCATGGTTTCCTGGGGCATATTGTGACTCAGCTACATGGGATGAAGTCATGTCAGAGTGAACTCAGCATCTGTGGGTGCCACATAGAGTGAGGACCCGGGGCCCATGGGCCATCAGCCTGAGACAGGTCAACCTGGCCCTGAAACTTCTTCACATATGTGGTGTGTCTTTGGATTCTCCTGGTAGAGAAGAGGGTGTGGAGATTTATTGGAAACCATGTTCTGAACTGTCCCAGGTCTCTGAACAAACTCAGAGTGGAAGAGCTCCTGTCTCTGATGTGGGTGTACCCATCTCTATCTGTCCCTTTGCTCTTTATCTCCATACTGACTCCCTGTTTCTGCCCTCTATCTGTCCTTTATAACAAACGGTTTCTACTGTTGCTCTTCTGTCATTGTCTCTCTTGGTGTAGCTCTCACCAAGGCTGTCTCTCTTCATAAAAACCCATATTCATCTCCTTCTTCACCACCTGGGACTTCCAGGTCTTAGAACATCCTGTCTGTATCCCAAAGAGGATGGGGGCGGGTCTGGACAGTCTCACCTGTGATCATGATGTCCAGGGGCCCACTGGGGGCAGACCACTCATGGGAGGAGTGATTGAGAGAACCGAAGCACCTGTAGGTCCCCGCATGGGCAGCTGTCACAGGACCCATGGAGAAGTTAGCATAGGAGCCCCCAAGATGGCGCTGACCAGCAAGATACAAAGTGTCCTTGGATACCCCCTCTCTCTGAAGAATGAAGCTTTCAAACACGATCTCAGAGCAACAATGCAAGGTCACGTTCCTTCCTGATTTCACCAGGGGACCCGGCTGGGCTAACAGAGAAGGTTTTCTGTAGATTCCTAAGAACATGGATGTTGTAAATTTAGAAGGAGCCACCCTGCCCCACCCGATTCCCTGTCATCTGAAATGAGTGAGGGTGCCCCTGTGTCTGTCTGTCTCCTTCTTCTCTGTGTCCTTTTCTGTCTGAATGTCCCCATCTGTCTCTGCCCCTCCTTTGCTGTGTGTCTCTGTGTCTAGCATCAGCACCAGACTCCATTCCCACTGCACTCATCCTTGGCACTGTCAGTGTTGCACCTGTTTCCCACAGATTCCTTTTCTGCTTTCTCTGGTTGGGGTGGGAGATTGGCACCACGGGCTGTGTTTCCAGGTTCTCTTACCGACCAATTCCTGCCCTGCGTGATGAACTGGAATCCCTGGTAAGAGGTAGGAATTAAGCAGTAACGCAGGTACCACAGTAACTTCCAGTGTCCACCCAGCCTGTGACGCGTGGGGAGGGGCACATCTGCCGTGTCTGTGCCTTCTCCATGGTCCCAGCTTCCACAGGCACCCCTGAGGTGGCTCCGGGAACAGCACCCCCTCCCTGTCACTGCAGCCTCGTGGTGGCATCAACATCCTGCTCTTACCTATTGCTGGGCATAGTCTCGCTTCCTCTGTTTCATTTCCTAATTTGTCCTTCCCCTGGGTATCTGTAATGATTACCTAGCTGCTGTGAGAAATTGTTATGAACATGATGGCTGGAAAGAACACAGATCTGTCATTTTACAGTTCTGGATGTCAGACCTGGGTCTTATGGGCTAGGACCAAGGAAGGGGTTGGCAGGACTGCATTCCTTCAGGAGCCTCAAGGGGAGAATTCATGCCTGTGCCTTTTCCAGCTCCTGGGGGCTGCCTGTCTTCCTTGTCTTGTGCCTCCTTCCTCCATCATGAGAACTAGCAATGGCTGCTGGAGTCTTTCTCATGCTGCATGACTCTGAAGCTCATTCTCCTGCTTCCTTCTACCCTTGTAATCACAATAAGCCCACCTGGATAATCCAGGATAATCTCCCCATGTCAGGGTCACCTGCTTAATAACCTTAATTCCACATTCAACCTGAATTGCCCTTGGACTATTCATAGACTTGGAGTATTATGATATAGACATCATTGGGGGTCATTGTTCTGCCCACCTGCATGAAATGCCCTTTTATTTAAAATACTTGGAGCAGCTCCTATTGTTCTAATTGGACCTGACTGACACTCCCACCAGGAAACTCTGACAGTAGGAAGATTGGGACAGTGAATAGCCCCTCTAAACAAGTGTTCTCTGACCTGTGACCACAATCACCAGGGGGTCACTGGGTTCTGACCACACAGAAGAGGAGCCAAGATAGGATCCACAACATCTGTAAGTCCCCGCATGTGCTGGGGTTACAGGGCCAATGAGGAAGCTGTTCTGCAATATTGTGCTGTGGAGCTTGGAGATGAAGATGCTGTTGTTCTTGTACAGTCTGAATGTGTCAAACTTGTGATGGGAGTGACACTGAAGAGTCACATGCTGTCCTTGAGGAACCACGGGGCTTGGCCAGGCAGATAGGGAGGGCTTGTCCTGACCACCTGGGAGAGGAAGAGGCACAGCATTGGTCTCCCCTCCCCTGGCTCAGAGGCTCCCCTTCTTTCCAGGTCTCTAAGGCTCCTTTCCAAACCCGGGGTGCCCACACCACACGAAGACTCCCCACACCACACAAACATGGCATCTCCTACAACAAACATGTCGGCTGAGAGTTCTGAGTGAGTACTGAACAGTGGGCTCGTACTAGGTGTTGATAATGTAAGTTGTTGTGTAAAAGAAGACAAAGTAGACACTGAACAGGAGAGTAATGACTTATGTGTATGCCATAACATCAGCAAACACATGAAGCACGTTACATGACAGAGCTGCATCAGAATGTGGTGGAGTTCCAGGGGTCCTGGCATGCGGATCTCCCACCTCTGTAGAACATCAGTGGCAGCATCCTGGGGCTCCTACACTCATGGGTGTGTTGGGGAGCTTGAGTCGTTGTCCCGACCTCAGACAGTCTGTTGCTCCTGACACTGCTTGCATCCCCTGATCTACAGACGGCACCAGTTCCTCCCAGACACCCTAGCTCTGAGCAGCAGTGTCCCTAAGATGGCTTTAGAGCCTGTCTCAGCCAAGGGGAAGAGGGTCTAGGGAGGGTCTCTGGACCAGAATTGGGGCTAGGGTTTCCCTAGGCCCCCACTTTCTAGTTCACAAGAGATTCACCCACAAGGCCTCCCACAGTCAACCCATCACCCAACCTCCTGTGCCATCTGCCTTCCTGTTATAGGAATTCTCTTATTCTGAGTAGATGGCAGCCCAGGGTTTGGGGAAAGGACTCACCCACTTGTGCCCAGATCCTCTGGATGAAGAAGAACACTGGAAAGAAAGACTCATGATGGATGGTCCATCTTCACAGAAGAAGTGGCTTCCCCCATTCCTTCCCCCACCTGGCCTGAGCCATCAAGGTCTGCTTTGCCCCCATGGGAATGTTCTGCTGTGGGGAGACCCAACGTTCCAGGCCAATATTTCCACCATGTATTCCCTTCCTTCATCCCCTTCTGGGACTCACCCAGACTTGTGAGGCTGATGACCACAGGTGACATGGCGCTGCTTCTGCTGAACAGAGTTGACAAGTACACAGGATGTTGTGAAATGGGGCCCAGCTCACATTCATAAGTTGACCACAATAAGGAAAGGTGATGCATAGAGGCTCTTTTTACTCTGCATATAGGTGGGTGTGGGGCCTCAGCTAAGGGTAAAATCAAGCTTCCTGGAAATTGTTTAAACTGCACCTGTCGTGTTGCATCATTTACTGTGGTCAGACTTGAAACACATCTCAGACACTATCCCTCATACTCAGAATGATGAAATGATAGTATTTTTTTTTTAAATCTAAGCCTCAAAATCTTCATATGTAATATGCAACATATCTAGTAGGTACTATTATAAAAAGAATTAGAATGTATAAATCAAAATTATTTTCTTTCTTTTTTTTTTAAAGATTTTATTTATTTATTTGACAGAGAGAGACACAGCGAGAGAGGGAACACAAGCAGGGACAGTGGGAGAGGGAGAAGCAGGCTTCCCGTGGAGCAGAGAGCCCGACGTGGGGCTCGATCCCAGGACCCCGGGATCACGACCTGAGCCGAAGGCAGACGCTTAACAACTGAGCCACCCAGGCGCCCCTCAAAATGATTTTCTAAGCTGATATTTCTAGTATTGATTAAATACTTGTTAAAAATTATTTAATTTCCCTGTAGAAGGATTATGCGGTTATTTAGAATCATAGAATTTCACTTTATTAGCAAAGAACAATGCATGTAAATTCTGGATCTTATGGTTTTACCTGAAATTCACCTTATGACCCAGGAATCCAAACTCAAAATTCATCTGTGTTTATCTGTATATATCTATATATCTCAATTTTATATAAATATAAATATCCATTAATATAATGCTATAGGAAATTCACTTTCTAACAGCCAATTGAGAATGTCAAAAAACTCACCCCAAAACATTTTATGAAGAAAAACCCAAAATAGTAACACCTTCCAACTTAAAACAAGAAGATTGCAATGACCACATAACATAATCTACCTACATATTTTGCCCTTATCCCATCTCCTTCTTTAACCCCATGTCTTGAAATTTGTAGGAAATTTTCCACCATGCATTGTAAATACAGTTTTAAAGCACTTATCTCTCCTTGTAAAATGTGTAATTGTAATAAATATAAAATATGTTTGTACACACATACATGTATGCACCCACGTATACAGTTGTTTCAAATTTTTAAAATTATCAGCTTTTGCATCTTTTTTTATTATGTTCAGTTACCCAACATATAGTACACCATTAGTTTTTTTAATTTAATTTAATTTTATTATGTTATGTTAGTCATCGTACAATACATCATTAGTTTTTGATGTGGTGATCCATGACATCATTAGTTTTTGATATAGTGTTCAACGATTCATTAGTTGTTTATAACACGCAGTGCTCATCACAACACATGCTCTCTTTTTTTTACTTCAATTTATATTGCTATGATATACACATATCAATTTTTTATAGTTCCATTGCATTGTTTTGGACTGCAATATAATATTTCTTGCATGAGTATATCAACATGTATTTATCCGTTCTCATTATTATAGATATCTGGCTAACATGCATATCTGGACAATATGGGTAGTATAGATATTTTTACAATAGTATTCTTCTAACCCATAAACATGGGACATCTTTCCATTTGTGTCTTCTTCATTTTCTTTCATCAAAGTCTTATAGTTTTCAGAGTATAGCTTTTATGCCTTTGGTTAAATTTATTCCCAAATATTTTATTATCTTGATGTTATTGTAAATAAAATTGTTTTCTTTTTGCCCCCCACATCAATATAGCTTTTATTGTATCTTTAAAATATCACAAATAAGTCTGAAAAATCATCTGGCATCTATTTGTTTCTGTAGCTGGATAACTTAGATCTTGTTCATCAGCCTGCTGAACTGTTCCTTTTTCAGAAACATAGATACCATCCAAAAATTTTTTGGTGATACTTATTTTTAACTGTTGTGGCTTGCTGAATCAAAGCAGCTGAATTTGATACAAGTTCAATGTCATTTCCTTCAAGAATTAACTCATCTTTCTGGGCTTGAGATACTGAACAAGCAACACCTGGCCTCACCCAAACCCTGCGGATATATTTTTCACCCAAGAAATTTTGGATTTTGATAGAAAAACAATTCTCCTGAATAGCAATATTGATGGGGGAAGTGAGCATACAACTACCTCATCCTGTTACAGAAGTCCCTTTAATTCCCTTGATCATGTTCTGTACGTGACTACAGATAGTGCAAACAGTAGCCAGTTCTTTTCTATTTCCCCACCATCTGTCAGTTGAGCCTCTTCTTTTTCTTTCCTGGGAGACTGAGTTCTACACTGTTGTGACTGAGTCCCTCCACAGGGTTCCTCTGGGGCCCTTCACAATAACAGTGTGTTCCTTCAGAATGAGGTCGACATTTTCTGGAATGTCAACAGTCTGATTACTGAGGATGGTCTTCATTCTCACAGTAGATGCAGCTGAAATTGTTTTCTTTATTTCTTTTTCAGATATTGTGTCATTGGTGTATAGAAATGGACTTGTTTTCTGTATGTTGATTTTTTATCCTGCAAATTTGCTGAGTTTGTAGATTAGTTCTAAAGATGTTTGGTGGAGTCTTCAAGATTTTCTCTATATAACATCATATAATCTGCAAACCAAGACCATTTTACTTCTTTCTTTGTGATCTGGATGTCTTTTTATTTCTTTTTCTTGTCTGATTGCTGTGGCCAGGACTTCCAATACCATGTTGAATAGGAGTGGTGAGAGTCTTTGTCTTGTTCCTGATCTTAGAGGAAAAGCTTTCAGGTATTTGCTATTGAGTATGATGCTAGCTGAGGGCTTGTCATATATAGCCTTTATTGTGTTCCTTCTATACCCAATTTGTTGAGCATTTTCATCATGAAAGGATGTTGTGTTTTTTCAAACACATTTTTCTGCATCTATTGAGATGATTATGTGATTTTTATCATTCATTTTATTAATATGATGTTTCACATTTATTGATTGTGTATGTTGAACCATCCTCGGGCCCCATGGATAAATCCCACTTGATCACAGTGCATGATCCTTTTGATGTGTCATTGAATTTGGATGGCTAATATTTTGTTCAGAATTTTTGCACCTATAATTCATCAGGAATAGTGGTCTGTGATTTTATTTTCTTGCATTGTGCTTATCTGACTTTGACATCAGGGTAGTGCTCATCTCATAAAATTAGCTTGAGAGTTCCTTCCTTTTCAGTTATTTGGAAGCGTTGGAGAAGAATCAGCATTAATTTTTCTTTAAATGTGTGGTAGAATTCACCAGGGAAACCATCTTGTCCTGGTCTTTGGGACAGGTGTGCTGAGAGGTTTGTGGCTCTGATTCAATCTCCTTACTCATTATTGGTCTATTCAGATTTTCTATTTCTTCCTGATTCAGTCTTAATAGATTGTGTGTCTACAATAAGTTATCCATTTTCCCAGATTGTCTTGTTTGTTGGTGTTTAACTGTTCATAGCAGTCTCTTATGATCTTAGGCATTTCTGTGGGATCAGTTGTAACATCTCCTCTTTCATTTCTGGTTTAACTTATTTGTGTCTTCTCATTTTTTTCTGAGATAGTCTAGCTCAAGTTTTGTCAGTTTTGTTTATCTTTTGAGAAACTTTCCTTCTGCTAACTTTGGGAAGTCTTTCTTCTGCAGGTGGGGGCACACTGGATCTTGACCCTGGGGCTAGTGGTGCAGAATGCCAAGTGCAGGGGTGTGTGATGTCACCAGATTCAGGGGGATGTCATGTGTCTTTGGCTCACAGTACGTGGGTCCTTCCACAGCATCAACAATAGTGTGGTCCTTGGCGAGCACTGTAGGGGATCTGGAGGCTACAAAGGCTGGTGTGATCATAAGCAGTGCCTCCAGACCCAGTAGCTAGGGACCAGGGAAGGCAGCAGGGGTGGCTGGAGTTGGTGGCGTGCACA